AAAAAAAAAAAAAATTCTTTTTCACTTACATCTATAAAATTTAAAAAATTAAAGTAAATAACGAAAAGTGAAGAGAGTATATTAATTAACAAAATTGTTTACCTGCACTAAATTGTACACATATATGTACTCATATCTAAATATATAATGTATATATATATATATATATATATATATATATATATATACTAAAAAATTTTTTGATATTACCCTCTTTTTATTTGTTTCATGTTGTTCTTAAACTACAAACCAAAAAAAGAAGAAGAAAAATCAGAAGAGAAGAGAAATAGGAAAAAAGAAATGAGTAGGTAATGCACCACACAGAAAAAAGTGTATCCATATATCATATTTCAATGTAGTTTTTATTTTTGTTTCAAAAGCAGCAGCTAAATTACATCTTCAACTTAGATATTTGGCTAATTGAAAAGCATGATAATAAACGTTTCTTTTTTCACTTTTATGCACAAATATAATATTATACTTCTATGTATATGTATAAATTTTTGTTTTTTTTTTTTTGTTTCTTCACCTTAATTTGTTTCCTAACTATATGTCGGATATATGTCGGAAATGCTAAACTAGAGGCTTTTTTGTTTCTTTTCTTATTCGCCTACATATCTATACTTTTCAAGTGACGACATTTTACAATGCATCAAAACCCAATGTAACCACCATTTACGCCCAATTTCTTTTCCAAAGATGTTATTGTCGTCGTTTGCAGCAATCAGCAATAGCAGCAGCAGCAGCAGCAGCAGCAGCAGTAGCAGCAAGTAGCTATTAGCATCAGCTGCTTAAGGTTATTCACCACAATCTTCCATTTATTTTTGATGTAACATTTCGTGTACAAAACCATTTCAGAAATTTGATCTAGCACCTTTTTTTTGCCTTTTTTTTGAAAGAAAGATTGAAAGAGGAAAAAGATGGAAAAAAATTCCATTAATGAGTGAAATTTTTGAAAGTTAATTCAAAAGCGAAAAAATCATCAAACAGTATCATGCAATTCATTCACTCATCCAGTCATTCTTTCATTTTGCTTTTTTGCCATCCACTTCTTCTTTTCTTTCCTTCTGTTATCAAGGGCAA